GGGGAGCGGGGGGACCTTCCTCCTTCCCCTAACCCTGGCGATCCCCAGTCACAGCACTGTGTTCTTCTGGGGATCAAAGACTACCTGCATCACGAAGCACGAACCCACTCAACTGCCTCCCTCGGAACTCAGATTCCTGCTACAGAAAACCACAGTTGCCAAGAAAAACAGCATCATTCCGTTATAACAGTTGGCAAGAAGCAAGCATCGTGCGCTCCCGTTCCTGCTGTGAACGCTGTCTCGGGTGAACATGGGGCACGAAGGAAGGGCCATGCGGGCACCTCAGAGATTCATTATGTAACGGAGGTGGCAGGACCAGGTGGCCGGACTTGCAGCCTCTGACTCCCAAGGCCAGCCCTGGGCACGTTGGCCTGGAACGCCCCCTGCAGGCCTGCACACGCTCTCACTCGGGCAGAGAACGCCTGCAGGGGCCCAGGCCAGCTTGCTCCCACCTCCCTTGTCCAGTGCCCTTTGCACCACTACTACAGTCTGAGAGCAAGTCACACAGCAAGTAGTGTATGAGGCGTCCAGCTCTGCCTGCAAACGAGACATGTTTAAACATGTCTGTGCTCAGCGGACAGCTGCAGACACCACCTCCTGGGAACACAAGCCTCTAAGCTCGTTAGGGAGCCTTCAAAGAAAAGGCATGATGGAAAAAGCCCTGGTGTCGTGGTTACGTGTTGGGCTTCGATCTGCATGGCTGGCAGTGCAAACCCACCATACGCTCCTCGGGAGAAAGACTGGGCTTTCCGCTCCTGTCAACAGGTACAGCCTCAGAAGGCCGCGGGGTCGCCGTGCATCAGCAATTTGGTTTGGGTTTGATGAAAACAGCGGCTTCCAACGGGACCAATGAAACGATGGCCAAGAGCGAGCTGGGAAGGTGACGGCCACAGTTCTGGGACTCCGAGAGGATGACCCCAAGAGACGAGGTGATCAAAGGCAAAGGGTGATCACAGGGGCGGATAATGGAGAAGTTTAAGAAACCCTGAAAACTGCCTTGGTGACCAAACAGGCAAGCAACTAACTAACTCAAGAGTAACCCGCAAGACCTCTCACTCCACCCCAGCCAGCCCTGCCCTGGTCCCGTCAGCTTTCTTTTTGCTCCCAGGCTCAGAGAGCACTGAAAAGGAACCCGGCTGCAGACTTCTTCAGGACAGGGCTGGAGGTCAGAGCGCTGGAGGCAGATGTGTCAGGGTCTGAGCAGAGGCTGAAACAATTCCTTCCTTCCCATTCTGATTTTGTGTTCCATGATTTTGTAGCAATACTGTTTGCTGTAGCCTTGTATAAAATTACCTATTAAGCTTTGTGCGATTAATTGATTGAAATTAATGTACTGTGGGAAACCTCACAATTACCTCACAAAGAAAAGAATAAAAGCAACCTGTCATTATGCAATTAAGAAAGGGCAATTTGAGGCTTAAATAATTTAAGTCTTTGACATTTTCCCCAACAATAATATCCTATATGGGGGCAGGGGGGCAAAAACTTAGAATGGAAGGCAATTTTTGACATTTTTAAATTCTTAAAAGGGGACTACACCTGACTGTAGTGAAGTTTCTTGATAACAAACTTCATTTAAGATTAACAGAGGCCTGTTAGGGGTAAAAAAGCAAGCAAATGTGGAAAAGGTACCCCAAACCAAGCCTGCCACCTTCGAGTCAATTCCAGCTCATCATGACCCACCGAGCACGCACGCAGAGCTGCCCCCGTTTGCCCCGTCTGCGGCCTTCACAGGGCAGACGTGCCTACATCACTCTCCCAAGGAGGGGCTGGGGGCTCCAGGCGTTCAACCAGTAAGTGTGGGTAGAAAACACCAACAGAAGCCCCTCCGTGGCATTCCCATCTTGCTCTCAGTATGTGTAACTCAGTCTGCAGTCGGGTCCGGGAGGCTCAGCTTCAACCGTGCAGCCTGCCACCAGTGAGCCACATAAAACAGACCACTGCTTTCCTGAGAGATGTACAGAGCAACAAGAGCTGAGGTTAGCAGGTGGGCTCCCTGCGCTGCACCCACCGCACGGCCCAAGGTCCCCCCCCTCAATGGCCTCAGTCCCTAGCACCCGAGGTCGGTCCTGTGTAGTGCCAGCCAGGGGCCCACTCACCAAGTCACGGTGCAGCACCCAGTTGGCGTGCAGATAGTGAATCCCGTCCAGGATCTGGTAGAGCAGAGACTTCACCATACCCCGCGGCAACTGCACGGGCTTCTTGTTGGCCTTCGAGGCTCGGTGAAACTTGATTATGTGCTGAAACAGAAAAACACCGGCAGCCGCTTCAGAAAAGATTGGGAAAGGGCGCCCGCAGGTGTCTGTTTTCCCCCCTGAAGACGAAACATCCCAGGCTCCCAACGATACTGAACACAGGCCTACACACTATGGAGTAACGGAGAGAGATCGCTTTCCCATTTACCAATCCCTGGGCTACACATTTTGTTGTCTACGCCTTTATCCTAAACTAACCAAACTCCCTGCCACCAAGGCGATTCCGACTCACAGTGACCCTACAGGACAGGGTAAAACTTCCCCTGTGGGTTTCCCAGAGTACAACTCTTTCCAGGAGTAGAAAGCACATTGTTCTCCCAGGGAGCAGCTGGGGGTTTCAAACTGCGAACCTTGTGGTTAGCAATCCAATGCAAAACCACTACGACACCTGCACGAAATACGTCGACCTAACTGCCAAAAGTTAGGCACACTCCAACCGAATTCTTCACCCCCCACCAGAGCTCCTGCAGACTGGGAAAGAAAGGCCTACCACGGAGCGTTAGGAAATATTGGGATTTTATTTTTAAAGTGGAAATGAAAATGTACTATATTTCCAGGCATACTTTTACCCTTAGTAGAAAATCTCAAGAACAGAATATTTTTTTGTTGTTTTGTAGAGAGCAAATTTTAAAAAAGGTGAGTGTGTGTGTGTGTGTGAGAGAGAGAGAGAGAAATATTGCTGGCTGGCTGGGATTAGCATTCTACAGAACTCTACAGCCTAATAGGTCAAACAACACAGCAAAAAACAGGCCAAGGGCTTACACAGACTACTGTCTAAAGTGGACAGTAAATAACCAGAAACATGCTCAACGACCTTGGTGATTAGGAAACGCCAGTCACCACCTCCATGAACTACCACCTCTGCCAAAGGGTGGCTTTGACTCAACAGGCAAACACACACATGCAAAGCAAGCCGGCCCTCACCCACTGCGGGTGGGACGGGCAGTGATGCAGCAGGTGTGTTCCAAATCGCTGGGCTGGTAACTTCCACCTTCACTCTCTTTACAGTCCAGGTCTATGTAAGAAAGAGGCGGGATGCAAAGCACCCAAGTGATTTGTTTTCAAAATGGTTCTTTTTACTTTAACTGTTTGGTTACCTACTGCTACAACATTCCTGCCAATTCTACTTCAATAAGAAAATACAATGAATAAGAATTCTGTTTTAATAAACAGAATTACCTTTTAGTTTTTATGAAAGCGAACATATTACTATGATACCACAGCTGTGGTAAACTAGCTGGTAATACGCATGTTACCCATAAGCTACCTGCTGCAGTAGAATCAATGCGTGTGCCTGGGTGTGAACCTGAACACGGTGGTACCAGCCTACGACACGCCACGCTGTCCTGTGTTACATTATGATTCTGCTGGTTAACTGGTCTGGAAATCTGCTGCTTTTAAGTCTGGACTATGAAATTTGATTTCATTTTAGAGTATGACAAGCATTCAGTTTCCATTGGCTAGGAACCCATTTGATCTGATTAGATTTCTTATAAAATCACAGGTTAAAAACCAGACAAAAAGAAAGCACGCGATTTACAATCCGCGTGAGCTGTGGACACCTGTTCAAACATCAGAAAGTCTCATACACTTAGACTTTTGGTTCTGACAAGCTAGTCTGGTGGTAGGTGCTATGAAAACCGCGGAATCAGATGACATTGATTCATGCAGAACAAGTCCCTACTAACAGAGCGGACAGATTCCTCATGAATCAGAAAGCAGAACAAACACAGGTGAGTTTCAATCTCCAAAACCAGTTATAGTTAATATTATGCAAATGAGTTCTAATTCTAGAAATGAGCATGGCGTTTTAAACCATTATGTCATTCTCAGAAGGCGACTGAACCTTTCAACCTTTACTGAAATCTGTTCTGGTTTTATATCAAGATTCTGTAGACAGATTCACACACTCGGCTGAAAGAAAATGTGAACGGCTTCAAGGGTCTCTAGAACATGAGCCAGGATACTATGGTCGCTGACAGAATGATGCTAGTAATACACCAGGAGCCTCACAGAGTTCATGGGGAAATGAAATTTTAAAAGAATGGAACGTTTTGAAGCCCCCACTCCCATACGCTGTCTATTTATCAATAAAAGCACTGCCATCCTAATTTAGTACATACAGAGCCTATATGCAGACCATAGTACATATTTTAAAACTTCATTAACTATCAGGAAAAAACATGTGGATCACAGTAGGGACAAAATTGTTAATGATATTAGGGCATTTGGACATTTTTGTTTCTTTTAGTAACTGTACACAGGCTGCTAATCTGGAGGCCAGCAATTCAAAGCCACCAGCTCCTCAAAGGCTGAAAGATGAGGTCGTGTGCCCCATAAAACTCCCAGCCTCTGAAACCTTATCGAGGACTGCCATGCGGTGGAATCGACTCGATAGCCCCAGGTTTGGTTTTTTGGGTTTGTCCTGACAGATGTTCTTCACCTGAGAAAGTTTAGGACGTAAGTTTTGTGAATTTCCTTCAACACTCTTTTAGCCATCCTGGGATAGATGGTCACTGCATAGACTCCAGGAAGTCTATGCAAGATAGCATTTCACACACACGTATATATGCTACATTTAATAAAAAAATAAATTTTACAGTTACTCCAGCCTTTTTATCAATACTGACTTAAAAAGTAATGTCCTTTCATAAACTGCAAAAGATAAAGACCCATGTTTGTGTTTCGGCTATTTGAAGAAGATAAATTTAAACGTTTCGTTTCTAATTATTTCTATCGCTGCACTGTCATGATGAAGGGGCTTCAGAAACCTCACGGGGAAAAGTAGAATTCAGGATAATGGAATAATGGTAAAAATGAGGAAGATAATGAAAACCAGAAAGTGAGGAAAGAGCAACATGAGGCCGAAGCGGACTCCACGGCCGGAGCAGACCTGCTCCCTGTGGTTTCCAAGGCTCTGGACACTCGTGGGAGCAGGTCTGAAGCCGACTCTTCTCGTGAGAAGCAGCTGTGGAGTGTGACCCAAGCCCTTGGGGTTGGCAGCTTAACACCTAGCCCGCTGTGTCTCCAGGGACTCCCTGCTGCACAGAAAATGTCATTTACCTTCGCTCAACTAGCAAATGCACTACCACGCCTGCTTAAGACGTTTTCAAATATTTAGTTGCTTCTGGGGCTCTACAAATATTCTGTCACCAGACCAGCCAGGCACACTGTCATGGAGAGTTACAGCAGACCGGAGAGTCTATTTTCAGACTGGTCTCAGGCTGGGGGAGAATTCGCCACCACAAAAAATGCATCCCATGCAAGAGTAGGCCCAGTGCAAGTCCAGGATACTATTGCAGTGTTGTGGATGAAACTAAAAATGCACGACACGAGTGAATACCAGTTTGACTGACAGCCAGCAAGCACGTAAGAAGACTTTCCAGCGTCTGGAGCTGCATTTCATTTAGAAGGCTTTTCAAACACAGAATTTCAGTTCAGAACCACCGAGTGAAGTACGGCGTTCTGCAGATGGGGGAACTGCCCCTGCAGCACCGGTGAGGAACATGCCTTTCGCTACAATCAGCTCTCAAGCTAGCACCCAAGTTTAACACGTTCTTCCTGCTGACGTCAGGACGCACCTTCTTCTCGGTTTGTCTCCAAGGCCACAGGGAAGTGGGATGAAAAGGAAATGGGATCTTCCGTGGACTTTTGGAAGCCCTCAGTCTTTTACTCCGTAAAAACCAAACTCAATCCCCTGCGTTGACACCGACTCACAGGGCCTTGGGGAGAGAGAGGAGAATGCCCATCGAGTCCCAAGGTGGAGATCCACGTCTTTCCCAGCGCACCGACATTCTGCAGAAGTGCTTCTGGGCGGAGTTGGGTGGGGGAGGCTCAGCAGGTCCCAAGGGATGGGGGACAGCACAGTGCTCCTTACCCAGAGGTCGTGCTCGGCGTAGTCAAACAGCAGCCACACTTTCCGGTCGGCGTGGGACAGAAACACCTTCTGCAGAGAGATGACGTTCGGGTGCTTCAGCTCTCGGAGCAGCTGCAAGGCAGAGGGGAGCGTGAGCTGGGCGCCGGAGCCCTGGGCCCCTGTCACCCGCCGCTGTGCGCCCTTCCCAGCACAGAGCATCCCTGGCCCAAGGGTGATGGCTGGTGGATGCCCAACCAGACATAGCACTCAGAGGGGCGGGGGAGCAGGGAGCACCTGAGGGAAGGCAGTGGGGGGAAGCCACTTAGTTAAGGTGGGGGGGTGTTGGGGGAAGCCTCTCATAAAACGGAGCGAAGATGTTTATATCTTGACAACTAGGGCAAGTTAACTTAAATTCCGAAAAATACAGCCACAGCTAATTCCTATCCAAGAGAACCCCATACTCACCAACACCCAATTATCAAATTAGAATTAAGACCTCAAACTCCGTGAGGTGCAGTGTCTTCATCTCACAGGCATTCTAATCAGACAGTAGGCTTGATTAGAATGTCAAAGCCTTTTTCATGAGACAGGTGAGTAATAGCCTCCAGGACAGAAGCATCCCCGTCGTGCACATTCTCAGGGCTTTCACCTCTGTCACCTCCTAAGAGGATGCTCTTTAACGACATCCTAGAACCAGCCACCCACAGTGATCAGGTCAAGTCTGACTCCTAGAGGCACCGCGGAGGGTTTCCAAAACCGAAACTCTTACAGGAGCAGCTGTATTTTCTCCCTCTGGGCAACAGTTGGGTTGAAACCACCAGCCCTGTGGATAGCAGCCCAACGTCCAGCCCACAGGGCTTCTGCTTTCTAATAACCCAAGTGGCACCCAGTCAGGAAGCCCTCTACCCCAAACCCAGATGACGACCAAAAGGTGCACGTGCAGCTGGCACTCGCCTCTGGCTCGGGAAGTCAAGGCCATCAGCACAGTCACCAAAGCAACCGATGTAACCAGGCCGCACTCATTGCCTTCCAGTCCGTCCCAGCTCACAGCAGCCCCGCCGGCAGACTGGATAGAACCACCCCCCCAGGGGCTCTGCGGTCCACCCTGCCTCTCTGTTGGCCTCATCATTCTCCCCAAGAGCAGGTGGTGAGCAGCCTAACACCCACCACGCCAGCAGGGCTCCTTAAAGTGAGCGCGATGCCACCATTATGCGAAGGGGTCTGAAATATACACGCCTCGGCTGCAAGGCTGCAGCAAAGGCCAGGCTCTGGAAGGACCATGGGTGAAAGTCACTCACAGGGAAGACCGTTCTCTGGGGAGAGGAAATGACTGTCGGGTTTTTAGCAACAAGATTCAATTCCTATCAGGCTATACAGCTCAGTTCTCAGAACGCAACTTAAACTTCTTAGACCCGAGTACCTATCCAGACAGACCTCCAGGCCAACGTGGACACCTGAGTCACACCCAGAGAGACCAAGACCGAGAATGGGCGCGGTAAGTAAGACCTGGACAGCAGGAGCTAGGTCATCTTGGCGCGATCGAGTTCGGTGCTTTTCCCATTATCTCACACCTGGAACATCCCTGCTAGCGAAACACGCATCTCAAATCCTTTCAGGAAGCAGGCAGGGGATAAATGACAACACGCAAGGTAGCAAGTGCTGAGGCTTTGGCAAAAGTTTTTTCCACATACCAGAATCCTAACTGACAGCTAGTGCTGTTCTTAGGTGTCTCCCCAAATTCACCTCCCAGGTGAGGCCTAGCGTCCTCCATTGCCGATGATGGCCACAACCACTCATGGAGCATTCCAAGGCCCCACGTGTTCACGAAGCCGCCCTCTGAAGTCGTCAGTATTTCACCAGCGTCTTCCCGGAAACCCCGTGGGCTGTTCTCAAGAGGAGGAATGTATCTGTGGGGTTGGTTCTTTCCGTTTAATCATGCGTACTGGCTTTGTAGTTGACATGTTAATTATTTTTAAGAGTTTAAATCTTGCTTCTCCCACGTCCTGGAATTGGAACCGATGACTCAACCATGTCCTCAACGTGCAGCCTGCTTTTCAAATCACCCAAAGCAAACTCAGCGCGAGTGAGTTGACTCTGACACACGGCGACCCTGCAGTACGGAGAACGGCCCCTGTGGGTTTCTAAGACTACTCATTTTTATGGAGACATGCAGCCTCCCCTTTCTCCCTTGATATGGCTGGTGGGTTTGAACCACTGATCTTGCGATTAGCAGCCTAATGCCACAGTTCTTTTTCATACTGACCACAACCTTAGAAGCCCAATGGGGCAATTCTATTCTGTCCTGTAGGGTTGAGATGAGTCAGAATCCACTCAATGGCAACGGGTTTGGTTATTTTTGTTTGTTTTGGTTTTAAATCTTGACAAAAGCAAAGGGCCCCTCTGTCTCTTGCAGACAAGAGGGTGGGTTCAAAGTGCTTCACTACTGGGCCACCAGGGCTCCTTACTCAGCCTCTACTGTCCTAGGGGAAGAGTTCTCTGCACAGAAACAGGGTGCCTTCAATATAGACAAGGTCGCCACAGCACAGCAGCAGGCCAGGACGGCACAGTCCTCACCTCACCTCACCTCACCGCTGCAGCAGTGGGCTCGGGACTCCACCGGGCACCAGGTAAGTGACTGTCCGAATCAGCAAATACGCACAGCAGATGCCATGCAAGAGACCTGACTGCAGTCTTCTAATCGATGCATTGCAAATCACTGCTTCCACCATACAGCCAGTCCACATTTAAAACAGAATTACTTCGATAAAAATTCCATCTATCCAGCCAGACCACCAGGAGCCCTGGTGGTGTAATGGGTCACTTATTGGTCTGCGAACTGCCAGGTCAGCAGTTTGAACCCACGCACCTGCTCTACAGGAGAAAGATGGTGCACTGTGTGCTCCCATGAAGACTTACCACCCAGGAACCCAAAGGGGAGCACCACTGTGCGCTCCACGGGCACCACGAGTCAGAACTGACGAGGGGCAGTGAGCGGGGGCTGAGTCGGCCAAGTCTTCCAGGATCACAGTCGTACAGGCTGGAAGAGTTTAATGCAAGGGGCTCTGGTGAACCAAAAGGCCACAAGCTAATCTTTGGGAGTGGCCAGCCTGGTAGAGACCTTATGAAACAGTTCTATTCTGCCCAGCCAGGCCACTCGGAGTTGGCAGGACTCCGCAGTGGTGGGTATTTTGACACAAAACGGGGGGAAATTTTTGGTAGCCCCATATCTGATAACGGTTAAATATGCAAAAGTATATAAAGAACTACTACTAATACCCAATATCATAAGACAAACCACCCAATTTAAAAATGAGCAAAGGATTTGAATAGATAGTTTTCCAAAGAAATGGCCCAAAAGCACCTGAAGAGGCTCAGTGCAATCAATTATTACTCAGGCAAAAACCAAACTCAGAGCCGTGAGTCAACTCTAACTCACAGCGACCCCAAAGGACAGGGCAGAATCCTGTATAGAAGTAGAAAGTCTCATTTTTACCCAGGAGCAGTGGTTTCAAACTACTGACCATGTGGCTAGCAGTTCAACACTTAGCCCACAGTGCCACCAGGGTTCCTTGAAGCACGCAGTCTTGTCAGTTTCTGTAATCTCCAGGTTAGAAAGACCGGGCTCTCTACTCCTGTAGTCAGTCTCAGGAACCCCAGGGGCAGTTCTCCTTTGCCCTGCAGGGTGCCCGAGCTGGAATCGACTCAAGGGTAGCGTGCTTGAGGTTTTGAGTTTGTGTCACTAGACCTGCTTGCTTCATCGCTCACACATTCCAGGGGTTGTGGAGTCAGCTTTAAATCATGGTAACCCCAGTCCTACCAGGTCACAGGGAGTTGGAAATGACTCGATGGCAGGGAAGTGTTTTGTTATTGATGCTTTTCGCGTTTCTGTGCTGAATGGAATCTTGTTTTTAGGCTATTCGTGGAATTTTGGTTTTAAAGACTGACTATGGAAATACTGCAAACATAGGCAAAGCAGCGGAGCCTGGGATGTGCACCTGGGTGGATTTCCATCCCCAGACCCTGAGCAGAATCAGGAAACAGAACCTGCTGGCCCCTTCTCCATCACCGTCTCCGCCCCCACTCGCTGGGACCACTGTCTGTCTCTGGCATCAAGGCCAGAGTCCACTGTGCACAGAGTCTTAGCTGCGGGAGGGAGAGGGAGAGCAGAAACGAGGGAAACACGTGATGACGTGAGATTGACACAGAAGCCACAGCAATAGGCTCAAACCCAGCAGAGGCCCGGATGACGGCTTGGGGCCGTCACATGCCTGTCTCCACGACTCAGGGCCAGCTCAACAGCACCTAACAGCCACAGCTCACTGTCCAAGAGCCGCCAGCTCACCCGTAGAGATGCTGCTATTCCAGAGCCCAGGGCCTGAAAAACCCATCACGGTTTAATGAAAAGCATCCCTCTGTCTCATTGCTCTCTTCCCTGGTGCAGGCGATGTTTGCACGTCTGGTGAAACCTGGAGCCACCCAATTCTCTAGCTTCAATACACACTGCACTCCTGTACTCCGGGTGCACGCCCAGGGCGCCTCTCTCCTCAGGAGAGCACAAGTGCTTGAAGCCAGGGCCTGCCTGGCCCTAATGGTTTAGTTTTGCCCACTGCAGTGTCTATTAACATGGCAAACCACAGGTGGCTGCTGACCAGAAACCCACTGGTAGTGCTGACCTTCATGTTTCCACATGGCCACAGCCTCCATCTGAGGGTAGCGATACAGAATATGCCATGATCCTGCCAGAAGAATGGGCAAGTCCTGCCTTTGTTGTAGAGCAGAGTGCTCCTGAGAAGGATGATGGTGAGACTGTCTCTAGAACTTTGGGCACGTTGTCAGGACAGACCAGTCTCTGGGAAAAGGAGGAAGGTCTTTGAGTTAGTTAATTGTGCCAACCTGGCCGATAAACACGTGTGGGGCTAATTGAAAGGTGGAGGGATAAATGGCTCGGTGAACCTCGCCTTTCTAGTGCTCAGGTCTCTTGCTTTGTGATGGTCGCACCAGGGTGCAGCTGCCTTAGCAGTTCCCTGCTTCAGCTTGCAAGATTGACTTCCTACAAGACATCCCCAAGGAGAAGCTACATGGACCTATCCCGATGCAGCCCTGGGTGCTGGAGCAGCCGTGTGGAGACCCCTGCTAGTGCTGGGATGCTTATTCGTTCACTGACTCAGCTTTCCTCCTGCAGTCGGCATCATTGCCTCTGTTTTATGAGGTAGAGGACTTTGTGGACTGGTGTTGGGTTAATGGGTTCATGTTGGACTTGTGGACTTGGGCAGCATTGGGTTGGGATGTTTTCGTGATGCACACTTTCTTTACATAAAACTCTCTTATCCATGAGTTGCTGTGGATTTGTTTCTCTAAACTACCTAAACGAATACAGTCTTCAAGGAGATGGATGGACACCAGACTACAACACTGGACTTCAAACATGGCAAGGACGGCGAGGACCGCGGCAGTGTTTCCTTGTGCTTTGCACAGGGTCCCTGGCAGCTAACAATGACAAAGGTGGACGGGGAGTTGTGGCTCGGTGGTGGAATGCTTGCCTTCCAGTCAGGAGACCTGGGTTTGATTCTCGACCAATGCAGCTCGTGCACTGCCACCACCCACCTGTCAGTGGCAGCTGACAGACCCAGAACACAGACCAGGCAATCCACTTCCCACACCCAGCTAAGGACACGTGTGTGAGCACAGTGGTCCCATCCTGCCAGTCCTGGGCGCGGCATGGGCCTGGGCAGCGTGCCACACTGTTGTACGCGGAGCTGACTCTGCAGCAGCTGAACACCACCGGGCCGGACGGGAGACCTCAAGCAGCACAAGCACAGCAACCACGCAGCCCCTACACGAGACGCCTGGACCCTCACTGTCACAGCAGTTCCAGCTGCAGGAAAGTCTTCCAGAGCACACACAGACGGCAACAATGGCGTGCGGGCACGAGGAGACTGCATCGTCACGTAGAGCGCTGCTTTCCAGAGAAGGCGGTGCGCAGGCCACGCACGCCACGCACACCAGGGACACGCCTGTCTCACTGAAAGCCACCCAAGTAACAGCACTGTCGCCTCCTGATTGCGCCACCTACTGACAAGCCACCTCTTCGCTGCAATGACAGACTAGTATGTATTTACATAAACAACTGGCAAACTTTACTGCTCCCATCAATGAATTTACGGATAGTTCTGCTACAACTACATGCTGCCTTTACTTTTCTTCTGTGTCTACTGCTAGCGGACAGTAAACACTGTCACCACATTCACTTCATGTCACAAACACAATGTACACCACAAACCAAACCCACGGACAGCCATCCAGTCAATTTCCAACTCCCCGTGTCCCCGTGAGGTTGGAGGGCACTGCCCTCCCCAGGAGTCCCAGGCTGTTCCTTCTACGGAAGCAGACTGCCACATCTTTCTCCGGCCGCTGAGGCCCACTGCCAGCCTGTGGGCTCGTGGCTGGGCCTACACGCACCGCACCACCAGCTGCACGTGCTGACCGACCCCGAGGCTGCGAGCGACGATATGGATAAAAAGAGCTTCACTTACTGCTATTTCTCTACATGCCGACATAGAGATCCCGGTGCCTTCTATCTGTTTTAAAGCATAGTCCTTATCATCTTTCCTGCAAAAACAAAGTTGTTTTAATACAGAGACAAAGTGCATTCTTAATAAAGCAAAACATCAATCACAGTTCATGTACGGGGGTGGCATTTTGTCCTCTAGTCACCTCCAAGGACGCTGGTGTCGTAGTAGTTAGGAGCTGGGCTGCTAACGAGATCCGCAGGTGGAAATGAGCAGCCGCTCTGAGGGAGGAAGAAGAGGCTTTCTACTCCCATAAAGAGTGAGTCTGATTGGACAACCCCTCAGAGGGGCCACCAGGAAGGGACAGTCAGCCAGGGTGCAGTACAGCAGCGACGAAACATACAACATTCCTCTAGTTCTTTAATGCTTCCTCTACACCCCCAATATCACGACCCCAGTTTTACCTGACAAATCCGACTCGCCTGGAGGATGCACTATGGTACAGATAAGAGCTCTCAACACAGAATCCAGGACAGGTAAACGTGGAAGTAGCGATATCATGAGGGTAGGGGGGAGGTGGGGAGAGAAAAGGGGACTGATTGCAGTGATCAACATATAAACACCTCCCGCCCCCAGGGGGCCGAATAAGAGAAACGTGGGTGAAGGAAGACAGTGGATGGTGTAAGATAAGAAAATCATAATAATTTATAATTTATCAAGGGCTCACAAGGGAGGGAGGATGGGGAGGAAGAGGGGGGAAAGGGAACTGATAGCAAGGGCTCAAGTAGAAAGAAAATGTTCTGAAAATGACGAAGGCAGCATACGCACAAATGTGCTTGATACAATGGATGTATGGGTTGTTATAAGAGCTGTAAGAATCCCCAATAAAATGATTTATGAAAAATTATGAAAAGAGTTTACAGTGTGGGAAGCCCACAGCGGCAGTTCCACCCTGTCCTACAGGGTCACTGTGAGACAGCATCAACTTGATGGCAGGGAGGGAGCCCAACTTTATTATTCGATACGTGAGAGAAATTGGGTTCAAAGCTGTCCAAGGTCCCACAGTTCCTTGTAGAAAACGGAGCTCCTGACTCGCAAGAATGGACTCCTTCTGCCCCACCATGTGTGCAAGTCCTGTGTGTGTGCACGTATACAGACAACACACAAGGTACAACATAAACCCTGGTTTCAAAAACCCAGTCATACGTTACCCAAGTCATCGAGCCAATTCCCACTCACAGTGACACAAGGGCAGAGTAGAACCGCCCTTCCCCTCTGGGTTACTGGGACTGCACATCTTATGGGAGCAACAGCCTCATCAATCTCCCGCAAAGAGACTGGTGGGCTTGAAGTGCTGACCCTGCAGGTAGCAGCCCAACACGGTACTCACAACACTGAGTGGTTAACAAGTTGAGAGGCCAGTGCCTCACTAGAGCACAGGCGGTTGTGATTTCTTAGTGAGCATGTCCATCAGAAAGCAAACCAGTAGAGTGAGGACATGTCCAGAGCTCCCCCACGGTGTTTCCAAGGCCCTCATCTTTACGGAAGTAGGCTGCCACCTCTTCATTTCACCCGGAGTGGTTGATGGGTGTCAGCTGCCATCCTAGAGGTCGCACCTGTAACCACTGTGCCACCAAGGCTCAGACTAAGTCACCCCCAAATATCTTCAAAGAGAATTATGCTACGTGTGTTTAATGAGCATGTACTGTGTCTCTCGAGCGAGGCTAAGAATTGGGATAAATAAGGAGACTCCTCTTCTGGAGTCTCCTGTGTCCACCAGATAAAGACAAACAAGGCTTCTTCAAGGTACAGTCTGTTCTATAGCAGGGCAGGTCTGAGCCACGGAGCACGATGGACATGCCCCAAGCCAATTTCCTCAGGGGGCCCCTGTCTCCTGGAGGCCAAATGGCCACCCTATAACATGTAGTTCTCAGGAGATTCGCTGGAGAACTGGCAAAACGCTTTGTGGGTATGAGTTACTGATATCACCACCACCCTGCAGGGATTAAACATAAGCAAACACAAGTGCATATCCATTAGTCTTCAGGGCAATGGAGACATCACATGCACATACACGGTAACTCCTGGCACACCTCAGTCACCAGCCATTTGAGATCAAAAGGGCAGAGTTTACTCAAGGCTAAGGTTCAGGAGAGTTAGGAAAGCAGTAGTGGTAACAGGATACAGGAAGGAAGTGGGATAAGTGATGAGGACTGCAATCAATGAGATGAAATGAAGCCTGTGTGATTCACTGGATAGAAAAATGATCTGTAAGGATACTGGGCCTCCACTCAAGTCCCCCCCCCCCAATGCAAGAACACTTTGTTCTAATAACCTGGCATTCCATGATGCTCACCTTCCCTACACAATTGCTAAAGACAAAGGGGGTGCATAAGCAAATATGGTGAAGAAAGCTGATGGTGCCCGGCTATCAAAAGATAGAGTGCCTGGGGTCTTAAAAGCTTGAAGATAAACAATTGGCCATCGAGCTCAGAAGCAAGAAAGCCCACATGGAAGAAGCACAGCAGCCTGTGTGATTATGAGGTGTCGATGGGATCAGGTATCAAGCATCAAAGACCCAGAACAAAAAATCTTATCAATGTGAATGAGGGGGAGTGTGGAGTGGAGACTCAAAGCCCATCTGTAGACAATTGGACATCCCCATGCAGAGGGTCACAAGGAAGAGAAGCCAGTCAGAGTGCAGTATAGCACCAATGAAACATGTAACTTTCCTTCAGTTTTTTAATGCTTCCCCCCCTCCACTATCATGACCTCAAGTCCACCTTACAAATATCGGATTAGACCAGAACATGCACACTGCTACAGATAAGAGCTCGAAACAGGGCAGATAAAAGAAAATGCTGTGAAAATGATGATGACAACATATGCACAAATGTGCTTGACACAATGGATGGGTGTACGGATTGTAATATGAGCTGTAAGAGGCCCCAATAAAATGATGTATAAAAAAAAATAATAAAGCTGGTCTGTAAAACTTAACTCAGTTCATAAGTTTTATAAAAAATAAGAAAAAAAAGTGTTGTCTTTTCTTGGGGCCAATAGGGGGCCCCAAACCACTCGGAGAACTGTGAGTGTTGGTGTGCTGTGTGCTCTTGAGAGGGCAAGTTCCCAGAGGCAGCCTAGTGTGACGGTACCTGAGGGGAGAGGCAGCAGCGCAGGGATTCAAGGAATGCAGATACAAAGCTAAAGAGCTTGGAGACAGAACCAGGAGCGAGGACACTCTGTCCATTCCAGTAACAGCAAGGAAGGTTCCCGATGCAAGGCCAGCACTGACCTTCACTTGGGAGGACTATCTGGCTGCCCTGTGAGTGAATGCACAGGGGGACTAACTAAAGAGGCAGAGAGCTTAGGGGACGGTATGTAGTAGACTGTGCTCCCGCAGCAGCAGGTGGTCCTGGGGTGGTGATGGGCCCGAGGAGATCTCTGGGGTTAAGGACCCGACCCGAGGAGGTCTCTGGGGTTAACGACTCCACTGTCCCATGAAATGAGCACAGCAGGAGGGGAGCTGGGAGCAATCCTGGTTCCAGTTCTGGTTTTTGCTGCTGAGGTGAAGGGTGAGAAGAGGAAACGGGTCAGAAGCTCGGGAGAAGAGACAGAGGCAGACTTATGCCCAGCCCTTGTGCGCCGTCCCCAAGCCTGCGAGAGGAGGTGACCTGACACACCTGTGAGAAGCACTGAAGCCTGAGAGGGCTACCCAGGCCAGGACCGCACAGGGCGCTCTGGATTAGCAAAGGCAAGGGTCCCAGGCAAGCATGGCGCAGCAGGAGGCCGAGGAATGAATGAGCTATAGCTACACGGGAGCAGACAGGAATATGGTGGCGCAGTGATCAAGCACACAATGCTAGCTGGAAGTGTGGCAGTTTGCACCCAGCTGAAACCACGAGGCCCAACTGAGAACCTGGGTTCAAAACCAGGAGTAGCACTTCTAAAAACACAGGGAGAGATGGAAGGCAGGATGGGTGCAGATGGAACGGCGGCTGGTTCTGAGACAAGCAGCTGTTGGAAGGCATTCCCGTTGTGTGGGCTTTCTTTTGTCTCTACGGGAGGTAGGCGGCAGGTCACTGGCTCTAACCAAGGCGTGGTGGTAGAGATGGAGGTATGAGTGGTTACAAGCCGACGTGGAGAACTGCTGCTGTTGGGTGCCCCTCTGTGCCACAGAACGCAGCAGGCCTGCTCCCGCACCCTCCTCGCAACTGTCGTCTTGTTGGGGCCGCTGTCTCCACCGTCTCACTGAGGGTCTTCCTCTATCTGCGATGACCCTTCACTTTACCAGGCAGGATGTCTCCTCCACGGACTGGCCCCACCTGAGAACGTGCTCCATGGATGTGACACACAGGCTTGTCACTCGTGATTCTGAAGAGCATTCTGGCTTGCTTTCAAGGCAGGTGTCCATCCCTCTGCACGCCCATGGAGTACTGCAGCACTGTGATCCAACCGAATACATTCTTAGCTCTTCCTCATCGGCGCCCTGCTTTCTCAAGTGCATGAGGTGGCTAAAAACTACCGGGCTTGGTTCAGGCCCACCTTAGTCGTCAAAGTGACATCGCTGCATTTTAACATTCTAAGGAGATTTTTTGCGACAGATTTGCGCAAAGTGCCAAGTCTTTTGAATTCTTGACTGATGCTTCCCTTAAGGACCAGTTGTGCATCTCAGCAAGATGGAATCGTTGACAGGCAACTCGTTCTCAGTGGACTATTGTTGATAGTTTGGGTAGATTAGAGAAACAAATTCATAGACACTCACATGTGTAGAAGAAAGAGCTTTATATACAAGAGCAATTGAATATGGAGAAAACATCCCAGCCCAGTCCAGACCAAGTCCATAAGTCCAATATTAGCCCATATGTCCGATACCAATCTTTCAATTCCTCTTCAGACTTATAAAACACAGGCAATGATGCTGAATGCAGGAAGATCACAGGCCAGTGGGTGGGAAGGATTGTGGATCTAATGGCCTTGTAAACATCTCAGTGGCGGCAGGGTCTCCACATGACTCCTCCAGCTCAGGGCACCAGCGTAGTTCCATGTGTCTTGTCAGCTGCTATGTCTCCCAGGGAGTGAGTTGAGAGTCTCCTGCCTCCAGGGAGGAAGACAGGAGTTCCCAGAATCCTCAGGAGAAGGCCATGCCCACACAGAGGCCTCATTGGCTATGACCTGAATGACAGGCTAGACTCCACCCCCTCCCTCTGAATCCTCTCAAATTAACAAATATAACTACCACAACTATGTTTACGAGCCCAGTTGTGAGGCTTCTTGTTGTTGCTGTATAATCCAGACGGAATGCTGGAGCCTTTCAAGTCCTCTCTGCTTTCAGCAAGCAAGGCTGTGCCGCCTTAGGCCTTCCTCAAATCTTGCTGCTATATTCTTCTGCGATGCAGTGAGTTATTTATAATGCATCTCCTAGCCACTCCCACCAAACGACATTTCCTGATGGCCCTGGTAAGAGAAGGTGGGGGACACTGAAGGTAAGGGGTTGCT